AACATCACCATCATCATTATCTTCTTCAGACAATTATTCAAATATATTTTCATCAAAGATAAAATGTAATTAAAGCATATAAAATATTATTTTATGATCTGTTTTTACACCTCATTTTGATAACACAGAATTTATGAAACAAATACATCAAAACTTTCATTACCCCAGCTGATTGCACACCAGATATTTGAGAAGATATCATTACTGGACCCCTAATGGAAAATAATTGAATGTTGTAATTTCACACACAGCATGTGTAGCAAATTTTAACATTCTCATTTCTTTTTCAAACATGTTGAGAGAATTAATTAACATAGCAGCTTCCAAACTGACACAGGAGATGAAAAGGTCTGCCATTTTCATGACACTAACTGCCAACCGTAGCAACTTGATGATAGTGGCCAGGTGAATAGGTGGTTCTGTTTGGAACCTATAGTAGGACCCATGGTGATGCACATGAAATTAATGTTATTGTCTATGATGACTCTGTGAATTGTAAGCAATAAGGTCCATGACATGTCACCCAACATTTTCCTGAAGGGACTCAGGTTCAATATCATCACCTATATCAAAGTAGGTGGTGAGAGCCTGGATTGGTGGGGGATGTCATTGTTCTTGTAGGACTCTGCTCTTCCTACATGACCTAAGTGATTCAGAAATTGATGGCCAAGAATTTTCATGATCATCTTGCCATCATCATCTGTATTATATGTCTGGGGCATCATCAGGAGGGAGGCCAATTACAGAACTCATAATACCAAAGACTTGTTGAAGGCTACACAGTCATAAACATAATGGCCACCATGAATGAGAACCACTGGATCTGATCATAGCAGTTGTTTCTAGGGCCACATTGAAACTGACTTCAATGCTGACAGGCTTTTTATTGAATAATCTTTTTAATGTTTTTCTAAGCTAAATATACTGAATTTTTCCATTGAATATCATTTCATATATATATATATATATATATATATATATATTTATTTATTTATGTCTTGATTACAAGAATGCTACACTTATTAAAAGAGAAAATAATTTAGACAGAAAATTCTTGAGAGTGTAACTATCAGTTCTTGCCAAAATTTTAAATTATATCCTAGACACTTTTCCCAAGTCAACATATACGACCATAGAAAAATGTTAAAAATTAAAAGAAAACCGTTAACTCAAGACTTATTTTAAATAAACAAATGCATTATTTAAAATAGACAAATAAATAGATAATTTATGAAATTAAAATAATAAATTATTTTAAAAAATAAATAAAGATAAACAAATAAGAAAATAAAATTTTAACAATTTTCTTGCAAATTGTTAAATTTTATCAGGCGACTTTATCACGAAAAATCTAAGGATTTTGTTTTGCAACACATATTTAAGTATTGGCAGTGGCCAGGTAAACATTAATGAGAAAATAGGGCTATTTTGTATTTTATTTTATGTTTTATATAATTCTTGTTTAAATTGTGTTACTGTCTCATTTTTGTAAACAAGAAAAAAGATATTCAGTTTTTCAACTCTTAAAATCAGTGTTGAAATTAAGGTATGAAAATTTTTATTGCATACCCGTTTCTTTCTGATTTGGCTACAAATTTTACAGTAAACTTTATTTTTGCATTCTAATCCATCCAGGGATTAGTTTATCAGAGAAAACAAAACCAAAAAACTTTCACTCATCATTTGTCATTTGCCAAACTTACTTGAACTTATCGTGAAAGTGTCAAGTGACATTACATCTGCTAAAGAATATCTTGTTTCATGTGAGTATGTCATTATCTTTTATACAAGGAAAAACATTTGCTTTTCTAGTTTATTATCAAACAATTTAATATAATCTTTTTTTTTTCTGTTTGCTGTTGATTGAGAATAATGATAAGAACTGTATGTTCTTTATTTCTGTATTTAGGAGCAACATTAACATATGAACTTGTAAAAGGCAGAAAATGACAGATTTAAAACAGATTCTGAAACATGTTAAGGAATATATTCAGAGACAGAAAAAATGACTAAGAAAAATGTATATGTTTATTATAGATAATTTTAATGGCATACTTTGTTAAATGTAAATAAAAGTAGAGCAGCAAACAGATATTTCTGACATTATTATTCTTCCATTGTGTATCTTTCAAGGGGGGGGGGGTTGAGATTGAAAAGTGAACCAAAGAAAACTTGAAGGGTTTGAAATACTGGTTTTTGTTCCATTACTGAAGTTAAGCAACATTGATCTTGTTCAGTACCTATAAGAGTGTCTGCTTGGGAATACCAGGTGCTGTAAGTTGTGATAATGGCTTGGAATGTTGAATTGGAGAGCTGAGGTCAAATTCCAGCCAAGTTTGTTACAATTACTTACATCCAAATACCCTTGGGAAATGTATGAATCCAGTCTCACACAGAAAATAATAGCAGCTTATGGTGGGAATTGTTCTACGGAGTCAGTCATGAACTGAAAAAAGACATGATTGCCCGAGTGTGCATCATGCATGGCATCTAAGGATAGAATTTTGGAACAAGATTTTTTTTCCCATTTGTCTCAGATTTGATGCATTTCTTAAAATATCCTCATCTTTTCTATTTTTTACTGTCTAATTCTTGCAGATAAAAATTCTTGTCCAATGTGGTGACAAATGGATCAAAAACATCAAAGCAGAGAAATATTTCCCTTGAAGTCCAGAGAAATATAGCCAAGAAAAGGAAAAAATTAATCATTGATGAAGAGTTTGAAAATCATTGAATATCAGTCATCAGTATTTTTTTATTTTTATTTATTTTTATTTATTTATTTATTTGTATGTGTGTTGATATAATGATGTAGATATAGATGTCTTTTTGTAAATATAAAAATCTCTTCTATAGCATATAAGTCTGTGTATTTGTAGACATGCACATGCACACATACATATATGCAAAATAAATTTATGTATACATATGCATGTGGCTATTTACTTAATCTGGTACAAGGTCACAGTTATGGGAGTACCTAATAAAGATCTAACAGTCATAACTGTGTATCTATGACAGTTTACGTCTACGGATGTGCATGTAGTGTAGCATTTAATGGCAGGTAAAAAGGGATTGGCAATTGGAGTTCAAATTCCAGCCAATGCTGCAACATTCACTTTTGCACAAATATACTTGGAAAAGGCATGAATCTAACTCAAGGAAGTAATTAGGTAAAATAGCAGGGAAGACTGGACTCTCTAGTTTTGGGTGAAACCAGTCTAAGAAAAAGAAAACTCTGAAATCCAAAATTGTGCTGATGGTAATGGGAAACCCATGTTACTGTCTTCCCTAAGAATGCATGCCAATTCACAGATAATAAAGAAAAGATATATAGGCGTATGAGGGTCAAGCAACTCAGTTCTTAGAAATAGACTACCCGCACATATCATTTGATTATAGTGTTGAAGGCTTGTGCAGAACCAACCACAATTTTTTGGAAGAGCCAAATACAGAAAACGGGTGCACAGTATGCACCAAGGTTCCCAAATGATCCTCTGCAGGTTTTAAATTCAAGAGTTGTTCTTCTGGACCATTTGTCACCCAAGGCTATACGACTCGGTCTGTTCTGCAATTTAACCATAGTAGGGGTGGGGTGGTGGGTTAGAAGAAATGGATTCATAATTTTTCCAAAGGTATTAGCACATAGGAATGTAATGAACTTGACCGGAATTTGAACTCTCTGATTTCTCAGCCATACCTCCATTTTTATATATATATATATATATATATGAAGAAATATAGTCTTAAGGTGTGCTATATTTATGGGATAAAGTGCTCGATATCAGAGATAGGCGTGTGTAAATATATAAGTGAACATAGAAGTCAACAGTCTGTTTCATGCTATATGCAATTGCATATAGCATGAAACAGACTGTCGCCTCTAAGTGTTGACTTATATGTTCACTTATATATATATATATATATATATATGGGTGTGTATGAAAAGATTTTTAGTGCCACACCATCTAAATAGTATTCTTAAAACAGGCAAAATTTTATTAATCAAAAAATTGGATACAAAATTATTGCCTTGATTAAAAATAGAAACTTAGATACTTCATCTGATGCTTTGGCAGAAAAAAAAAATTTAAAGTTGCCTAGAACAAGGCAAAGAATGCCAGGCTGTGTTTAAACTCCCTCTGCTTACACTGAGCTGGATGAGACATGTTGATAACAACTGCCTTCAAGATGTTGAGATGGTGTTTTGTCCAAGCCCTGTGCAGCACAGATAACTCTGCTCAATAATTAGATCCACAAGTAACAAAAATCAATAAATGCTCCCCAATGGCAGATTCATGTGCCTATGAGTGCCTAGATACTATTATGGCATGTCTACTTATAAAGACAGGCAAGTGCAGTGCAATCTGCATCTCCAGTCTTACCCACATAGTCAGCCTCACATCGACATTTAATATGATAAATAACAGAACTTTGTTGACTGGTGGGCAAGATATCCTTATAGACAGATGGAAAAGCACTTCTAATAGCAAAGATGTTCGATATTACTACAGTATTCAAGCAGTGAATGATAGTTGAGATCTTATCAGTGCATGATTGACTATAAGAATCTATTCAAGGTAATTTCATGTAAACAGAACACATAGGTGGACCCAAATGTTTTAATTTCATTAAACTTAGAAATTTTAAGTCTAATGTTACTTTTGATGAAATTCTCTGAATAGCCATTGGTGAGAAAAATATTGGTAAATTCCCTCAGTTCAGCATCAAGTTTGCACTGTGAACATATCATTAATGTACAATGAGTAAATGTTTTGACAAGGTTAATTTTCCTAGACTTAAGAGCATCTGAGATACAATCTAGTAAATGTGGGCTTTTTATGTACGCTGTTAAGGAAAGAAATGGGAGTTCTCTCAACCAGCAAGTCCAGGAAAGGATACCGTATTATTATTCTTCATTTCCATCTTTTCCAGTGAATGTCTTTGACGAGTTGATGGTGATGGCTACTAAGTCTGTCTCTTTCATCTTTGAGAATAACATGTATCAATATACTGATGGGGTAGCAATGGGCAGTCCTTTGGGACCTCTCATGGCTGATATTTTTGTAGGGTTTCATAAGAGACAATTGTTTGATAAGATCCCTAAACTATACTCTGCTATTTCTGTTATGTTGATGAAACTTTTACATCTTTTACATTACATAATGAGGCAGACAGGATTTTTCAACATCTAAATAGTCTCCACCCCTCTTTACAATTTTTTTTCTGACAAGGCACTGGATGAAAGGTACCATAAGTTTTTATTTTTAATCAAGACAATACTTGTATCTGACTTTTTGCTTAATAAAATGTTCCCTGTTTTAAGAATACTCTCTCTCTCTCTCTCTCTCTCTCTCTCTATATATATATATATATATATATATATATATATATTTAAATAAAAAGAAAGAACAGTAAGATATATAATCTGGTGTTCTTATAGATATTTTTATTTTTTTACAAAATAGTGCTCAATGTAAATTTACAGAGCATTAATATTATAAATTAATTGATTTAAAATATGTTTTTTTTTTTTCCGCTACACAGTTCTAACCATGTTTCAAAAATGGAAGCTAAAAGCCACGAATTTAATTTTTGCAATTAAATTAAAGACATTAGTTCATTTCATCCTCAAACAATTTTGGAGTAACTTTTTAAAATTCTAAAAATTTTAAAAGTTACTCCAAAATTCGCTTGAGGAAAATAATCTTTGAATTTAAATTAAATTTGTTTTTAGCCCATTTTAAACACGGTTAGAACTGTGTATGGAAAAAAAACATATTTTAAATCAATTAATTTATATATATATATATATATATATATATATATATATATATATATATAGTGTGAGAGAGAGAGAAGCAGAAATAGACACATGCTATAACATGTTTGTCAATAGATTAACATTTAGAAATTATTACCCTACATACTCTGATGATCATTGCAATAGATGAATACACATGGTGTACTGGCCTTGCTGCTCCTTGTGATGTGATAACTCATTGATTCTGGATACTAGTCATACTATTATATAATATTACTACTAATGTGATATTTCTTCTATAACTATTATTATAGTACTTTAGTCATTAATTTTGATTAGTGCTTCTACAGTAACTAGTCATAAAAAATACTTGCTACTAAAATTTCTATTACTAATACTATTATTATTAATCTTTGTATTGTTTTGTTCTCATCCTCCCTATATTCTGATAAAATGTTTTACTATTACAATTACTGTTAGTCAAACTAAAACTAAATTCAATACAAGGCACTCTTGACTCTCTTGGGGAAAAAAAAAATAAAGAAATTAGTTTATTATTACTGCCACTACTGTTATTATCAATATTATTAGTAATTCATTTGTCACTATTATTAATTAACTGCTATTATTATTATTATTATTATAATTCTAACTCCTTGTCTTACACTTTTTTAATAGACCAAAAGTTTTACTAGTATCTTTTCACCTACTATTTTGACTTATATTTCCATTGTTACATTTGTGATTGCTATCTTTGCTAATAACTGTCGTCTTTCTTAGCTTTGACTGCTGTGTTTGAATTGGTACAGTTTGGAAATTTGTTCTGGAACTCTCCTTAAACATTTTTCACTTTTTGTTTTCTTTTTTAAATTACTATCAGATTTTCTTACCTGACTATTTTCTATATTTATTTTCCCCTTTTTCACTCTCCTCCCTTTCTCTCTCTCTCTCCTCCCTTTCTCTCTCTCACCTCCCTTTTGTTCTTTTTATCTCCATTTTACTGTGTTTTTTTTTTTTGTGGAGTACTCCATATTTTTTTTAATTATATCACCTTTGTTATTTTTCTTTTTCTTTTTCTCTGTTTTCCCACCCCTTCTTTTATTTCTTCTCTCTGTTAATATTTATTTTCATTCTACTCCAATGCTTTCCTTCACTTTCTCTTTCATCAATTTTTTTAATTGTCTTCCTCTTTCCTGTAATTTGAATTTCCTTTTCTTTCCACAATAATTTTTATTTTCATTTTTCACTTCACTGTAAAATTTCTATCATCTCTAAATCTAGGCTTCCCTCTTTATTGAAGGTCTCACTTTTTTCTTTCTTTTTTATTTTCACCCCTCTCTTACTTTCACTATGCTTCTTTTTTCTAGTTTTAAATATTTTTCTTCTCTCTCTTTTCCCAATCCTCCCCTCTCTCTTTTTTAATCCTCCCCCTCTCTCTCTTTTCCCAATCCTCCCCTCTCTCTTTTTCCCAATCCTCCCCCTCTCTCTCTTTTCCCAATCCTCCCCCTCTCTCTCTTTTCCCAATCCTCCCCCTCTCTCTCTTTTCCCAATCATCCCTCTCTCTCTCTCTTTTCCCAATCATCCCTCTCTCTCTCTCTCTTTTCCCAATCATCCCTCTCTCTCTCTCTTTTCCCAATCATCCCTCTCTCTCTCTCTTTCCCAATCATCCCTCTCTCTCTCTCTCTTTTCCCAATCATCCCTCTCTCTCTCTCTCTTTTCCCAATCATCCCTCTCTCTCTCTCTCTTTTCCCAATCATCCCTCTCTCTTACACTCTGTAAACATTTTTTTTCTTTTCCCTAATTCTTGCTCATTTTCGTGTTTGCTTCCTTCTCAAATCGCCATTCCTTCCTGGTCTCTAAAGCTTTCTATAACTTTTCTTTATTCTCGATATTTCTTTTTTGTTCTCCTCTCCTTTTCATCTCTTTTTCTCTCCTTACTCTTTACTCTTTTTCAGACTTTCTCTCTCTACTCTATTCTTGTTCCTCTTCTTCCTACTTTTACCTACTTGCCTGCTTGCTATGACTGCTATTTCCCTAGCAACCTTGTTCAGCTGCTGTTGTCAGCGTCATTGCTGATGCTGCTGCCAAAGCTGCTGCTACTACTACTACTACTGCTGCTGCTGCTGCTACAGTAACACGAATTAACATAAACGAGAGAGCAGTGGTGGCAGCTTCTTCAGTACTTACCGGTTGGGTTGGTCTGCAGGTTGGGCCGCCTGATAAGGAACTCACCATATACATTCCATCGTCTGCTTGGAACTACAGACACATTTACCTGAAGCTAGCACCTTGAATTTTTGCTACCATGGAGACTAGTAGTGGTCATTTCATGGTTAGGTAAGAAGCTGTGATTTTTATGATATTGGTGACTGTTTATCTATATTGCTTATGCGTAGCAATCATATCCGTTATTGAATCATTGTTGGCAAAATGTCCTTTCACTTTATCCTGCACACCTCATCTTTGTTCGTTACTACATTTGTCATTTTGTCCCAAATATCATTGACTAATTTTTTGTTTTCACTTTTACTCTGACGTATTTTTCATTAATTGCTTTATTCTCAACTTGATCTCTCCTTTACTTACTTCTCTTATTCACTCTGTCCTTTTCTTTTTCATGCCCCCATCCTTTTTTTTTTCTTTCACTTTCATTCTTTTTATCTTGTTAACCTTTTCATTTCCACTTTCCTTTTCTTTCTTCATCTTATTTTTTGACATTTTTCTTATTTATTCTTACTTTGTTCCTTTTTTTCTAACTTCATTCCTTGTTTTTTATTTCATTCTTTCTGCCTGGAATTGTGACTGAAAGATTAGGCGTGTAAAGGACTCATGCATTTTAATTTAAGCTGACACATGTGATGCTCGTCTTAAGCACATTCACCATGAACAAGTTCTTGCAAATGTTTGTGCCAGTCTGGCAAGTGCACACACACAACATTTATTTAATTCATAAACATATTGAGCCATACAGACTATGTACAAACTTAAGCACATTCATGTTGAACTAAAAGTTTGTTTATCAGAAAATTACTTTCTTATTACAGTTATATTTCAATTTTTCGATGCATTTGAATTCTAATTTGCTATTCTGTATGAAAGAGGTGTTAATACTGGTCAGGGGATAAAAGAGGTCCGTTTGAACCATCTTAACTTGATTTTTTTTTTTACTTGATGTACACTATGTATTAATGAAATAATATCTATCTATATGCACAGAGAATATGTACACTCATATATAGATGTTCAAATAATAGATATTTGTAAGTATATATTATATATAGGCTCACTAATGAATGTTTTATATCTACATAATGTATAACCAAGTCAAAATAAATATTTTTGTGTTTACAGGGGTTCATTTGGAGGGAACATAATATTTATCTGTTTTCTGTTTGGTTCAGTGAAACCTGCATGAGGATGCAAATAATTAATTATTTACACTAAGTGATTCATATAGAAATAAGCTTGTAATATATATATATATATATATATATATATATATATATATATAGATACACACACACACACATTTTTTTTCCTCACTGTTAACATGACTCTGATAGAATATTGCATATTGAGCACTAGTGTTAATAAAATAGCTCTGTTATTTTACATTGAGCACTATTTTCTTCACACAAGCACACAATGTATGATTATATATATAATATATATATATATATATATATATGTGTGTATTTGGGCAGCAATCCCTCTTCTATACAAGTTGCATTAAAAATGCACAAAGATTAAGCTTTCAATTAAATTTTACTTGTGTTCGTATAAGTATCTTTTTGAGACATGATATGTGTAGATTTTTATATACATATATAACAACATACACACAAAAACATATATATATATATGTGTGTGTGTGTGTATCTATCGTGATGGCAATGATTTTCATTTTTCAAGCATAGCCAGCACATTGTGGTTATGTTTATGCTTTTATATATATATATATATATATATATGGTCATTGTTGCATAGCCTCTTATATACAACAACATTCTAGTCAATAAGGTCTACACAAACTCACATTCTGAACATTTTTTATAATATATATATATATATATATATATATATATATACTCGCATCTCATTTGACTTTAGAAGTTGTTTTTAAGTGGCGGGGTTGCATCATACATGGGATATAAAATTAGCATATGTATTGCTGGTCCTGGCTATGTCTTTGAACAAACTATATATCCATTTACTGTAGTCAAATTAGATTCAAAATTAGGTCTTCAAAAGTTTCATGATATGCAGGTATATATATATATATATATATATATATATATATATATGATGATTTCTTAGCAGGAATTTTCATTGAATTGGCCTGAATCACCTCTAAAAATATGACCAAATGACTCAAAGGAGAATTTTGAAATTCTTTTCCAGAGAACTCTGTGTATATATATATATATATATTTATATATATATATATATGTTCAGTAAATTCCACATTCAAAACTATTAAAATAATTTATTCTAATATATAATCATACTAGAAAAACAAATGATTGAATATACAGAAAAAATTCTGGAAACTTTTGCACATGTCTAGTAAATACACAAAATTTATTTCTTACATATATATGCCTAATATACTTATATGTAAAATATTGTAAATATACTATAATATTGAAAATATATAGTATAATATTACTGTATTTTTAGAGAAACTCACTTATCAAAACCACTATTTCTCCAGCCATTGAAATATACAAGAGTGTCCAAACCATTCGTCCATCAGAATTTTTTAAAATCCCTTCTTGGTTAGGCTGAGAACTTTTCAGCAGCCACCTCTCTCACATTCTCTGATCACACATAAACATGGAAATATATGTAAACAAATATATATTTTTAAAAACATTTTGTTAATCTATAAACACTCACTCAAAATGTTTGCATTAATGTATAAACAAAGGTATACTGTTAGATATGCGCAATAAATAAACATGAAAATTCTTCTTTATACTAGTCTGTATCTATCTATATCTATATACCAATGTGTTAAGGCAGCTACACACACACACACACACACACACTCATCTGTGCATTGTTAACCGGTTGGTATCTTACCTTCCTTGTCTGAAGCTTATTGAATTTCTTTTGCATTCAAGGGAAAATAATAAGATCATGTGTGCTATTCACAAACAGATTTTCTCTTTCTGTTGGTGATGAAGCATTATTTCTTTTCATTCTCTTATCTATCTATCTTACATTCTATTAATTCTTCCCAGTTACGCATACCACAAAAAAAAAAAAAAAAAATTCCATTCTTCCCAATTCTCCCATTATTGCACACCAAACCAATTTGGAATAATTGGCTTTGAATGCATGACTTTTTATTATCATTACCAAAATCTGCCGGCATCTTTGTTAGAAATGTGTGTCTGGCTTGTTGTCAACATTGTCAATAGATTTTTCGGTTTGTGACATTCATTTCCCATCATGCATTGCTCTCTCTCTTCCTTTGTATTGTGAATTCATAAAGCATCTCTGCATATCATATTTGTCAATAGTGCCACCTTAATTTTGTTTTCTTTAAATGAAAAATGTGGGGGGGGGGGCAAGGCACTTAGAAAAAAAAAGAAAGAAAGAAAATATCAATTTATAAAGCTTTCAATAAAAACCAGAAATAGTTTTGTGTTAGTATTTTAAAAATAAATTCTTTTTTGAATAGATTTTTCATTTGATTCTTTCACTATTTTATATAATAATAAAACTGCAATAGATGAAAATTAAAAATATGACAAAAGCTAGCACCATAAAGAAATAAAAACATTAAAGCAAAACCTAAGAGGAAAATAATAAATGGAGAATTCCCAAGTGGGAGAAATTCCTCCTCTTTTGAAAAAAAAAAAAACAAAAAACTGTTACTATAAAATTGTGGCATTTTTTATAATATTGTTTTATTGTCAGTTTTGTTTTCAAGATATTTTCATTAATCAATGTATTAAAAAAAATGGTGTATAAAGAAATTCTTTAAATACTTAGGGAGGGGGATATTTTTAAGTTGTATTGTATTAAAACATAAATGAAAGAAAAAAGTCAAATTATAGTTTGATATTAAATAACCTTAAAATGTTTTATCTTCCATATTTGATTTATGAAATTACAAGTTTTGTGATTCTTTGTTAATTTAAAGTCAGTTTCTTTTACAATAATTGGTATAATTATTTTAACCTGAGAGGTTTAATATTAGAAATTTTTGGAATAAAAAAGATCCAACCAAAGAAATAAATATTATATATTTAGTGTTCAGTGGAATGCATGACAATACAAGGGTATAAATAATTTAAAGATTTTTTTAAAAACATTTCAAATTAAAACTTTTAACTCATATTAGCTCTGATATTTAAAAAAAACAAATAATGTCTTTCATATGTGTGTGCGTGCGTGTGTGTGTGATGTTATTTGTCTTTCTATCAAAATATTCTAATTTAAACAAAACAGTACCTCATCATTAAAATCTTGATCATAGTTTCATGAAAGAAAGTACTGAGTATTTTAATAAATGAAGCAGATAGTTTTAATTGGATAAAAGCTCATTAGATTATTGCTAAAACCTTGTTAAACTGCTTTAGTGTGCATATGAGACAATCAAAACAAGAACTTATGTTGACTTTAACAATAAACTAACGTCACTATATAAATTTATTGTTGCAGGTGAGGGACATTTCTCTTTCAACGGATTAATTCCACAATTGCTTTTATAAAGATGATGATGAAAATAAACTTTGAAATAATAAAATAGTGCACATCTTTTAAATATTGATCACAAGTAAATCTATA